ACCAATTTTCAGGAAACTTATCACACATCATTCTAGAGCTAATTCATTACGCTGTGCCAAATTTCGTGCAAATCGAGAGATATATAGAAACTTTGGTGCACCACTTACATTAAATCGGAAGAATATATATGTGGGAGCTATATCTAAATCTGAGCCGATTTTTCCCAATTTCAATAGGGTTCGTTCTTGGGCCAAATAAGTCAACTATTCCAAATTTCATCCAAATCGGATCATAAATGCAACCTGTACTTTGTTTACAATTTAACATCTACAGACGGACAGACGCACGGACGGACGGACGGACATGCGTAAATCGACTCAGAAAGTGATTCTATGCATATTCTCAAAAGGAACCATGAGAGATTTGGGGAGATTTGGGCGATACAATACGATTTGATCGATTGAGCATGGCTTAGAATGTGATCTCGCCATTGATTTTAAATATGAAAAGAGGTTGCAATAAATTTGCCACTGTAATGTGATGTGAATGAGTGAAAGGTGTTTACCATGACTGACAAAGTAACTAGTGTATGGTGTAAATGTCACTTAAGACATTTTAATAAATTTAAGCCATGAACAGACAAGGATTATATATATATATATATAGTTTTTTTTTTCAAACTATTTTTTTAAAATACACCAAGGACTATTAAAATTACCCTTATGTGACTATGCCAACATATGAACCTATATTAAAATTGTCTGCATAAATGTTTCTTATCCTCAAAGAAACAGGAAAAACCCAGCTTCATATGGATCTAAAACAAACACATTTCAATCTCAAACATTCAAAGAAAAGTAGCTATAGATGTGTAAAATTTGCGATATCGAGACAGACATGACTAAATCGACTTATAATTTTATTCTGATCAAGAATATCGTGTATTAAAATTAGTTCGTTTGTGCTCTATCGGCTCACTCTATTATATATATATATATATCGGCAAACAAACATATATATGCAAAGACATAATAAATGAAAGCATGTCTGTAGATTTGTATCTCAAAACATTTCTCTATTTTTGTTCTGTTTCGTGACATTGAAAATCGCTGCGAATGGCAATGAAGCTATTCAACAATTGTATTTACGTCTAGTATTCGCATTGATTGCAAATAATTGTTCTCTATTTGTGCGTCCCAAAATAGTAGCGGAAATCAAAGAAATCGAAAGTTCATTGAACTAAAATTTGGCAAACACAAAATTGTAAATACAATTAAAGAGAAATATAAAGTTGGGCGAAGGCGCCTTTTGGTAAATACGTTTTTTGAGAAAATAGACCTACAACTTTTAAAAAAGTGAGCGGTACCTTTAATGGTACTATGTCAGCATATGGCTATGTCAAAAGTAGATCTATAACGACTAATTCACCCTCCAAATACGCGGAATACCGAAAATATACCTTGGGGGTTAATCATTTTTATACGCTACACAAATATATTGTCAGGGTATTAAAGCTTTGTGCAGCCCCAAGAGTTTGAAACGCCGCGAAATATTGTCCTAGACCCACTTTTCATATCTCGACTAGCTGAGTCAATCTAGACATGTGTGTCCGTCCGTATGTCCATTGTAATTTGTAAACACGATACAGGCCACAGTTATGGACCAATCTTCACGACATTTTGCATGTAGAACAGGTTCTGAGATAGGTTTGTGGTAAATATAGGTTATAAATACTTAATTTTTGTAGGGTTTTTCTGGTCCAAAGGCCGCATTTATGGATCGAACATCGCGAGATTTTACAAGGATCGGGTCAACAAATAAGGATATATGCTTTTATAAAGAGCGGGCAATATTTAACGGGAGAAATGGACGTTGACTTTTGTGTGAAAAATAAAAAAATATTTTTTTTAGATATTATTTAGTAACCCACTATCACACTAGAGGGCGAAAATATAGCGCCGATCGCTTTGAAATTTCCCACGAAGTTCCAGTTATGGTCAAGGACAACGCTTATGATTTTCGGTGATGGTCAGATAATAATTTTGGGATGAAGTGGACCGAAAACTTAATTTTTTTGTGTGAAGGGAATATGGACAAATAAGTAGAAGGACTGTACAGGCCTTGCACCTAATCGGGCAAAAGGGTGCAACTATCCCGTCAAATGTCAAATTTCAGAAAGGAAAATGTGTTTAAAACCTTCAGAAAATGGGGCATATCATTATAGGGGGAGCATGTCAAAGTGAGTACCTATATAGACAATTTCTGGAAATATGTGTATTACCCTCCAGAACCGCAAATTTTGGATGGAAAATGTAGGTAAAAGTTTCTAAGTACAGAAGATGGGCGGTACCATTAAATGAATATACACCAAAGGATGAACCTATCTCGAAAATTGTATTTAAATATGTTTTCATCCACCAAGAACCCGAAATACCGAGAACCAAAAACCCGAATACCCATATAACCCCTACTTTTAAAATAGGGCGAATATTTATAATTTGTTGGAGGGACATTTGTTACCAAATACGACTACAAATTACAGCGAATTAGATTTAAAAACTTCCTCAAAATACTGAAAATTGGGGGTACCGATAAATGGGGGCTACCAGAAACAGTAAACATATATATATTGGCACCCAATGAGAATGTAAAATCCAAATTACGTAGATTTCGATTGAAAAATGTGTTCAAAATTCGGCAAAATACCGAAAATATACAAGTACTCTTATATGGGGAAAAATTGACATATATTCATAGTTTTTAGTGGAAAGATTTGGTACCCAATAAACCAAAGCAAGGTTTATTGATAAGGTTAACCGGCGGGCGATATTTTTGCTTTTTTTTTTTTTTTTGCTGTCAATATTTTAATCGCGAAATATCAACCAGAACCGGATAAAAACTCCAAATATATTTAAAAAAACCAGCAAGTAAAAAACCAGTAGTAAAGTCGGACTGGTCCGACTATATGATACCCTTCACCACTTTGGATATAATCAACATATATATCCTAACAGACGTCGTCGGAATACAAATTTCAGTATGTTGTGTCAATCAATTTACATTAAATAGGACTAAAATATATATGGGAGCTATAACTAAATCTGAACCGATTTTTACGATACTTATAACACTTCACTCTTGACCTAATTCATTACCCTATGCTAAATTTCGTGCAAATCGATAGATATATAAATACTTTGGTCCACCATAAAATCGGACGAAACTATATATGGGAGCATAATCTCAACCTGAACCGATTTTCACGAAACTTATAACACTTCATTCTTGGGCTAATTCAATACCCTATGCAAAATTTCGTTCAAATCGAAAGTTATATAGGGACTTCGGGGCACCATTTACATAAAATCGGACGAAACTATATATGGGAGCTATATCTAAATATGAACCGATTTGCACGAAACTCATCACACGTCATTCTACACTTAATTCAGTACGCTATGCCAAAATTCGTGCAAATCAAAAGATTTGCAGGGACTTTGGTGGAACTTTTACCTAAAATCAGGCGAAACTATATATGGGAGCTACATCTACATCTGAACCGATTTGCATGAAATTTAGCACACGTCATTGTACACTTAATTCAGTACGCTATACCAAAATTCGTGCACATCTAATGTTTTTCAGGGACTTTGGTGCACCATTTACCTAAAATCGGGCGAAACTATATATGAGAGCTACATCTAAATCTAAACCGATTTTCCCGAAAATTAGCACACATTATTGTCGACTTAATTTAATAAGCTATGCCAAAATTCGTGCGAATCTAATGATTTTCAGGGACTTTGGTACACCATTTACCTTAAATCGGACGAAACTATATATTGGAGCTATATCTAAATCTGAACCGATTTTCCCGAAATTTAGAACACACCATTGTCAACTTAATTTAGTACGCTATGCCAAAATTCGGTCAAATCTAATGATTTTTCAGGGACTTTGGTGCACCATTTACCTAAAACCGGGCGAAACTATATATTGGAGCTATATCTAAATCTAAACCGATCATATGGTGTAGGGTATACAAATGTCCTGCATATGCATGTTATTTTCCATTGTCTGTATATCTTAAGTATTTAGAGAATATCTGCTATAAACAATTGGCCATTGTTTTCTTTTTTCTTCACGGGTGTTCATGACAATCACATTTTAGCGGCACAATTGTTGCGTCTCTATTTTTATCAATTCGATTTGCTTTTCACTATCAAAAATTGTACAATTAGATCATTTAATTTTACCAATCAGTCTCTTTGCCATTGTTCAGGCTGTAGGAAGTCTCAAGAAATTCCACAGAAGTGAATTAAAAACAGCAAATTTAAATAAACATTGAAATATATTTGACGAATAATAATAAAACGATGTAAGAAAATAACAAACAAATAAATAAAAACAATGTGGATGTCATTATTTATTAAAAAATTAATTTATTAAAAAAAAATATATACAAAAAATAAATTTATTAAAAAATAAATATAATAAATCTGTCAACAATATTAAAATAAAAGACGATTACACAAGCATATGAAAAATTAAATATTAAAAATAAATAAAATCAAAGTTATGAATTTCTATAAAATATGTGTGCTTATATTTATTACAAAATAAAAGTAATAAATCTATAAACAAAATTATAATAATTAATTAGACAAATAACTTAGAAATTACATATGTAATTAAAATTACCACATACAAATTATGTTATTCATCTCCTGCTTTTATTATTTGTGTTATATATTACTTAAAAGTTATACAATTTTCAAATCGATTTTCACGTATTGCATTCGAATTTGACCTTGCTGCAATTCTGAATTTCCCTAAATAATCAAAATAAATAAAAAAACTAAACTATTTATTTAATTTTTGTTTTGTTTTATTTTCTTTTTATAGATCACCCAAAATTACCAATTGTATGTAGCGAGTGATTCATTGGCAGATTTTTCGAATAAAAGCCAACAACCAGCAACAACGCAAATTGTCTTGCCCTCTACAACTACTGCTTAATATATAAGAAAAAAAAGGACCACCTCTCACCCCCATCAAAATGTCCCTTACATATAGTTTGCGAACACCTCATGTTCGCCATATGCGCAGTGAAGTCATCAATGATCCCGATACGCCTGGCTACAGAGTTAACTTTCATCAGCCAGTACTGGATTATTTAGATGCGAAGACACAACATTTCCATGGTTCAAGAACCCACACCCCATGGGTGGATGAATGTACACCCAAGCATTATCGTTCCACCTCAACGCTGAATCAATTGAATGCCGTCAAGACCCTTAAAGTCGAACATGATACCGACGAAAGGACAGAGGGCATCATTAGTGACTTACACTACCAGCACAAGGCTCCTTTCGATGAACTGCCGATGTATGATCCATCACATATCACCCGTCACACCCATCCCGATCAGGTGTCAGATCAGGCTCAGAAACGTATACGCTACTTGAATCAACGTCAGCTGGAAAATCAAATCAAAAAGGACACCATGGAAATTGTTGATCGTATCAATCGTCTGGAATTGGACAACAATGAGTTGCCACGTGAGGTCGAACGTCAGGTGCGTGGTATTTATTCCCGCGTTCTTCCACCCTATGAACCGCCTGAGTATTTGGAAGATCTTGATACGGTCATTGATCGCGCTGCCTCACGTGTACGTTCCACTTCACCCGATTCTGCATATCGTAAACCATATCCAAAGTATATGCAAACCATTGACGAACGCCGGGCAACAAAATTGTACAAACAAGTTGGTGCCTCTCTAAAGGAATCTAAGCGTATTCTGCGGAAAATGGACGATCGTGTGGAATGTGATTTCTACAAGTGCAGTTTGAATGACAAATGCTGGCTGTGTCGTAAGCTAATGCGTAATAATTCACGTCTGCATTATTATCCCAGTAACGCGAATCCGCTTGTTATGAGTACTCGTCGCAGGAATAAGGTTACTTAGATGTTGAACAATCAAGACAACTACACCTACATATTTTTAATATAATATACTAGCCATGAATTGAAGAATGTGTATATATTAGGACTTCGTATTTTCGACAAATAAATTAATTAAATATATTTATATGAAAAAGCAGTGAGCGGAGCAGTATAGTCGGACGGGGCTGACCATATGATACCCTACACAACTTCCACGAAAATATAACACTCTGTAGTTCTATATTCTGAGCTTGGGCAATATTTCGCGATATTTGCAACCTCTTGACCGATATTTGCACCCTCTTGATGTCAACAAATATTACTAATTAATATTTAGTACAGCTCTTTTAATTAATTCTCCAGATTACCTTCACCGTGAGTTGTGTTGTGATGTTCGACTTTCAATTGTGGCCTATAGATCGACTTGAAAAAAACACCAAAAAATTTAGTTTTCGGTCCTCTTCATCCCAAAACTTTTATCTGATCATCACCGAAAATTATAGGCGTTGTCCTTGACCATAACTTGAATCTCATAGAAAATTTCAAAGCGATCAGCGCTATATTTCCGTCCTCTAGTGTGGGAATGGGTTACAAAATAATATATGAATACGTAAATATTTAAGTGTTAAAGTGTTTAAATATTTAATTGTTACTCTCACATCCGAGTACATACGACAATATAATTGGTATCAATTTAAAGGATAACCACGCCTCTTGGATATACTACCAACTTCTGGAGTCTATGTCCTTCAGGGATAAATATATACACTATGAAATACAAATTTTGTAATTTTTCACACAAAAGTCAGGGCCCATTTGACCCACTAAATATTGACCGATCCTTATCAAAACAGGCATGCTTATTGTTTGGCCCGATCCCCTTCTCCATGTAAAAATTCGCGACAAAAATAAAGTTTTTGGTCCATTTCATTCCCTAAATATTAACCGATCTTTCAAAAAACAATAGGGGTCTTCATTGGACAGAACCCATCCTACGTCGACAATTTCGTGAATATTGATCCATAACTGTGGCCTGTATCGTGTTTACAAATTATAATGGACAGACGGACGGACGTACACACATGTCTAGATCGACTCAGCTAGTCTAGATATGATGATCGGTATACTTAAAGGTGGGTCTAGGACCAATATTTCGCGGCGTTACAAACTTTTGGGGCTGCACAAAGCTAATAATTAGAGGGCGGAAATATAGCGCTGATCGCTTTGAAATATTCCATGAAGTTCCAATGATGGTCAAGGACAACGCCTATTATTTTCGGTGATGATCAGAATAAAATTTTGGAATGAAGTGGACGGAAAACCTAATGTCTTTGTGTGTTTTCTAGTCGAATATAAGCCGAACATCATAACTCAACCCACCGTGAAGGGAATCTGGACAAGTAAGTAGAAGGGCTGTACTGAATATTTGTAATATTCGGAACATGTATGGAAGATGTGCTGTTGACCTCTAATCGGGAAAGTCGGGGCAAATATCACTAAATATTGCCCAGGCTCGGAATGAACATCCACAGAAAGTTAGAGTTCCGTGGCAGTTGTGTAGGGTATCGTATAGTCGGCCCCGTCTGACTATACTGCTCCACTCACAGTTTATACTTATTTTTCATTTTCTTAACACCACAAATTATATTTCACTCTTTGAACCTAAAATTAAAGTTCCAACCCCACTTGAAACTATACTACAGCGATTGAGTTAGGGAAGTGTGGCAAAAAACCCCGATATAATATAATACCGTTAAAAGAAACTTGCTTGAAATCTTCAAAATGCCGACAAATTTGAGATCTACAGTTATAATACCTTCTCGAATTGTCCCATTGTAGTACATAACCTGCCTGCAGACAAAATTTGGCGATCTATTTCAATTTGCTTTGATGCTATAGTGATTACAACAGACAGACGAACCTGTGTTAATCGTCATATATTATTACGGTGATCAAGAATATATATCCTATATATGTCTTGTATGGGGTCGGCTATGAGTTACAAACGATTTAGAAATGTCCGTCCGAACACCTCTATATCTGGCTGGTGCGCATAATATGGAATATTCGACCAACGAACAGTGTTGCTGATTTAGCACTTTTTAAACTCGTTAACCCCAAAAAAAGGGATCTAGCACCTTTTTAGCATTTTTAATTTGTGTCAAAATTTTTTGTATGTTCACAAAAAAAGTATCGTTTTTCGATTTCACATTAAAGTTTCCCTATGCTTCACACTATGAATTTCATTGTCCAATGTTCCAGTGAGCGGAACAATATAGTTGAACGGGGTCATCCAAATTATAACCTACTCAACTACCACTAGACTGCAAAACTAATTGCCATGTCGGTGAAAAATTCAGCTAGATATCAACCTCTCAACCGCTGAGTCGATCAAGACATGTGTGTCCGTCCGTCCGTCTGTCCATTATAATTTGTAAACACGATACAGGCCACAGTTATGGACCAATCTTCACGAAATTTTGAATGTAGGACGGGTTCTGGCCAATGAAGACCCCTATTGTTTTTGGTAAAGATCAGTTAATATTTAGGGGATGAAATGGACCAAATATTTAATTTTTGTCCGTTTTTCTGGTCGCTCCAGAGGCCGAAATTATGGCCCGAACGTCGCGAAATTTTACATGGAGAAAGGGATCGGGCTAAAAAACGACATGGTTGTTTTTGATAAAGATCATGGTCAAGGACGACACCTACAGTTTTCGGTGAAGTTGAGATTTCATTCAGGGGGTGCAATGAACCAAAAACTTTAATTTTGTCAGATTTTCTAGTTGCTCTAGAGGCAATTATTATATGCAGAATATCACATTTTTACAAGGTGAAGGGGATCTGACCAAATACTTAGAGCGGCTGTTTAGATGATGATCGCTCAATATGCCGAGGGTCAAATCAAAATTCACTTCAAGAAAAAAAAAATTGTGGAAAATATGCCAGGATTAGAAATTGGGGTTGTTGATCTATAATCGGTTAAAAGGGTGCAAATACTATGAATATTGCCCAGACTCAAAATATAGAACAGAAAGTTTGCTTTTCGTGGTAGTTGTGTAGGATATCATATGGTCGGCCCCGTCCGACTATACTGCTCCGCTCACTGGTTCATTCCTAGTTTTTGGAGTAAGGAAAGGACAAAAGTCGGACAAGGTCGAATATATGATACCCTTCACCATTTTTGGATATTATAAGAGATGTTCTTAAGATTTTTATGGTAACAGAACCATTGACAGGAAATCGTTCGCAATTGAATATATGTTTTTTATTTGAACGTACCTCAATCAATCCATACACCTGCCATTCGGCAATCAATGCAAACATTTTAATTCATCGGGCAGACTTGGAGTCGTTGATGTTACATTTATATTAATCGGATTAAAGAAAATTGGCACCCGATATTTGGAATGTTGCAGCACATCACACTGTGCAAAAGTTCGTCGGGAACTATATCTAAATCTGAACCAATTTCCGAAGGTGTGATTGGACCTTCCTTATTCGAAAACGACGATGGAACTACGTCACCGTCAATTCTGAGCGTTAGGTCTATTGATGTCCAACTTTTTTACCTGATATTGAATAAAACGACTTGGAGAATATGTGGTTTCAACAAGATTGTGTCACATGCCTCACTACTGAGGCAATATGGCTTTATTACATGAGACATTTCCTGTTCGCCTAATTTCTCGTCGTGGCAATATGAACTGTCAACCAATATCACACATTTTTACGATTGATATGCCCAATTTGGTGTCTCCCACATCCACTAGGGGTTTCCAATTTTCCTCAATATTCATGCTGGATAGATTGGCGCTGTAGCTATTCGTGAGGAATAAACCAGAGCAGAGAAATAAGAGGTGTTGCATATAAAAAAGTGCGTCTTATCCACATATGCCTGTCCCGGTCTGAAGATTTTACATTTATTGATATAAAGGCGATTGATGAGAGCAATTATCACAATCATTATGACTACCAGAAAATACACCATACACCACATGCCCCTATCAAAGGATACCAGCAGATATAAAGTTTAAATTCAAATTATTTGTGTACAACAAATAAATTTAGTTTGATACAGTTGGATTAGATTGAACGAATAGACACAATATTGAAATGTGTTATAGGAAAATTGGTACCATGAGAGTAAGTAAATATTATAATTTTAGTACAATTGCTACTTGATGAACTAGTAGAAGTTGAGGTGCACAACATCAAATATCGTTGAACACAGAGCAGAGCGCAGCACTCATTGGTTAGATTTCTATAGTTGTGGCTACAGAGTAAAATTGATATGAACCCTTGTCGAAAGTAAATATACTGTACGCACACAACTACTAGTTAAAGGACCATAATCATTGTTTGCAAACCCCAATAAGGATAACAATTGTCATGGGCTGGTCAATTGATTCCACTTATAGTTCTTACTCAAATCAAGTGGAATAACAATAGATTAGGGACAGCAATTGAATTTCAATTTTAACATTTAGTTGATTGAATTGAAGATCAAATTCGTGGCATATAAATAAAGTCATGCTTTCGTTTTTGACATCAGTAAGACTACTGCAATGGGGTTGCAAGCATTGACCAAGTGTATTTTCATTTTCTTCCTGATTCTTCAATTTCATCGAAACTGCTGTTGCAACTCCGAAAAATGGGAAATTATAAACTACTTCAATGACTTGGAAGCTATTCAAATGAATTTGTTCATAGACATCAATGGGCAAGCGGAATCAGGTTTCCACGACATTATTTTAAAATCGAATATTCCAAAAATTATTATTAAGAGTGAAAATGCGTCGAGAGAAAATTTGTATAAAGAATTTAATATGAATATTTTAACGGTGACCAGAATTGATGCAAATAATCAAAATGTGACTTTTTCATTGATGGACGAACTATTGTGGAGGCGACATTACACCAAAATTATTGTGTTCTTTGAAAGTGATGATGACACGGATGAACATCAGCTTGTAAACCTATTTGAAGATAGTTTTAAAAATGGTTATCTATCTGTTTTGGTCTTGTGGCATAATGACACATACACCTATACACCATATCCCCAGATACGAGTTATACATTTGAAGGACTACGTGGAATTTGGAGAGCTACAAAAACGAAGACCCTATAATTTCAATAAATTTCATATCAATACAGCATTTGTCGAATATCCACCACGTTGCTTTAGTTTTCATAATCGTCAAGGTGAACTAATTAGATCCGGATATTTTTATAAGATTGTGGAAAATTTTGTAAAACATCACAATGGTACGCTGCAGCCGGTGTTTGTTGATGCCTGGGGCATAAGTTTTAATGAGACGTCCATCGTAGATCTGGTAAATAATCGTGGCTTTAGCTTTATTCCCACCTATTTAACGGCTAGTAAGCACTATGAGAGCAGTGATTGTATTCACTTTGGCAAATGTTATCTACTCGTTCCGGCTGCACGGGAAATCAAGCAGAATTTATATCTGCTGGTATCCTTCGATAAGGGCATGTGGTTCATGGTGGCTCTTCTGCTAGTGATACTGACTGCAATAGTTGCTCTTATCAATCGCCTTTATTTCAATAAACGTAACGTTATCGAACCTATAATACACGCTCTAAGGATTATAATCTTCATATCGGGTCAGGTATTTGTGAATAAGACGCCCTTATTTTATATGCTACACCTGTTATTTCTCTGCATCGGTTTATTTCTCACGAATAGCTACAGCGCCAATCTTTCCAGCATGTATACCTCACGGATATATGAGGAAGATTTGAAAACCCTACGGCATGTGGGACGCACAAAAATGGGCATACACACCTACACATTGGACTATAAAAACTACTTAGCATTGGAGAATTTACCCGACATTGTCTATCAGCGTATCTTCACTGGCAATAACACCGAATTCTATATCAATCGTAAATCTCTAAATATTGTCAACATTTATATGGGCATGGATGATGTTATCGAGTTGTTGCTATATCAGCAGATACATTTGAAAAGGCCATTGGCTACGTATATCCCCGAGCCATTGTTTACAACGCCCATGTCTGTTTCAATGCCGCATCGTTTGTCATTCGTCGAGTATTTCAATCGCCATTTGTGGTATCTGGCTGACAGTGGATTATTAAACAAATTCAAGGCAGATAGTAAATGGGATGGTATTGTGGGCAGAACCATAACATTTTTTCCCGATACTTCACCAAATCGAGCCATGTCATTGGCGTATTTAGAATATGCCTTTGTAATGTTATTAATTGGATTATCTGTGGGTCTGTTGATATTCATTGTGGAAATGTTAATAGCTAAGAAAAAGAAAATTAGATTAAACATATAAAATGTGGAACAAATAAAAAATATGAATTTTATAGTAAATTGTCCAAAAATAAAATGTTTTACTTTGTTTGCAATGATCGTCAAAAAATGTACCCATGGATTTTCATGTTAAAAAAAGTTAAGTTTATTACTCACCGGGACCTCGTCCTTGTAAACCACACAACACATGTTTTTACGTCAAACCATATAGGGTACGTTAATGCTAACAAATGTCAAATATTGCAATGGAAATTTCAAATGACCAAGCTAGATTTGCGATCATTCATTGGAATGTTTGAAATTTTTTAGCATAAACGTACTCTGTACGGTTTGACGTACAAACAAGTGTTTTGTTTTTTTTTTACTGGGACTTAAAAAAACTTGAAATTTGCCATGCCTTTTGGGGAACTGCTTCGGTTTGAGCTGATGGAGAGAGTGGAGAAGTAGGTCCCATCTACCAGAGAGATTGGACCTATGGGTCTCTTTTACAGACTTGATATAGGTTTAGCAAATTGGAAAATTAATTATGGGAATGAAAGCCCTTGTACACTAAGAAGGCGGAAGTACAAATCTTTCAAGGTTTAGATATTTATTTTTAATTTTTCATGAATAATAAATAAAAAGCTGTATATCTTCGCTTGCGTTTATTTTCAGATGGTATGAGAAAATTTTTTGTAAAACATACCCCTCATCTACTTCGAGTCCTTGTGGGTTTACTTCATCACCAAAGACGAAAAAACGAAATTCGTATCAATCATTGTCCGGGAAATTTTACGTCTACGAATGTCAATAAACTACAAAGTAAGTGTATATTATTTTATTATTATAATAAAATGTGCATTTTTTGTATAACTGTTTTCAAATATTTTTATTATTTTTCCACCAAATCGTTACTTCTTAGCCGACTTACATTTAGCTTAGCTCTTAAAATTTCCCCAACAAATATTAAAAAACCCACATAAAATCCAATGAATAACATTACAAAAGCATATTTTAAATATGACAGTGACATGGCTCGAATTGGTGGGGTATCGGGGAAAAATGTAATTGTTCTGCCCACAATAGCATCCCATTTACTATCCACCTTGAATTTGTTCAATAATCCACTGTCGGTCACATACCACAAATGACGATTAAAATACTCAAAAAATGGTAAACGATGCGGCATCGACACAAACATGGGGAGTGTATACAGCGGTTCTGGCATATACTTCACCAATGGCCTTTTCATATATAGCTGTTGATATAGCAACAAATCGACAGTATCATCCATGCCCACATATATGTTGTCTATATACAAATTTTTACGATTTATATTGAATACGGTATTATTGCCAGTGAAGAAACGCTGATAGATAATGTCGGGCAAATTCTCCAATTTGAAGTAGGTGTTATAGTTCAACGTGTACGTGTGTATGCCCAAGTTGGTGCGTCCGACATCCTGCAGGGTCTTCAATTCTTCTTCGTATATCCGTGAGGTATACATACTGGATAGATTGCCGCTATAGCTATTCGTGAGGAATAAACCAATACACAGAAACAAGAGGTGCAACATAAAAAAGAAGAATGTCTTTTTCTCAAAGACTTGGCCCGATATGAAAATTATAATCTGTAGGGCGTATATTATAGATTCGATCATGTCGCATTTATTGAAGAGAAAACGATTGATGAGAGCAATTAATGCAGTCAGAATAACTAACAGAAGAGCCACCATAAACCACATACCCCTGTCGAAGGATACCAACAGATATACATTCTGATTAATTTCCCGTGCAGCCGGAACGAGTAGGTAACATTTGCCAAAGTGAATACAATCACTGCTCTCATAGTGCTTACTAGCCGTTAAATAGGTGGGAATAAAGCTAAAGCCACGATTATTTACCAGATCTACGATGGACGCCTCATCAAAACTTATGGCCCAGGCATCAACAAACACCGGATTCAGCGTGCCATTGTGATGTCTTACAAAATTTTCCACTACCTTATAAAAATATCCGGATCTAATTAGTTCACCTTGACGATTATGAATACTAAAACAACGTGGTGGAATTTCTACAACTACAATATTGATATGAAATTTATTGAAATTATGTGGTCTTCGTTTTTGTAGCTCTCCAAATTCCATGTAGTTCTTCAAGTGTATAACTCGTATCTGGGGATATGGTGTATAGGTGTATGTGTCATTATGCCACAAGACCAAAACAGATAGGTAACCATTTTTAAAACTATCTTGAAATAGGCTAACCAGCTGTTGTTCATCCACGTCATCATCACTTTCAAAGACCACAATAATTTTGGTGTAATGTCGCCTCCATAATAGTTCGTCCATCAATGAAAAAGTCACATTTTGATTATTCGCATCAATTCTGGTCACCGTTAAGATATTCATATTAAATTGTTTATACAAATTTTCTCTCGTTACATTTTCACTATTAATGATAATTTTTGGAATATCCGATTTCATACTAATGTCCTGAAATTCAGATTCCGCTTGTCCATTGATGTCTATGAATACATTCATTTCAATAGCTTCCATTTCATTGAAATACTTTATAATTTTCCATTGTTCGGAGTTGCAACAGGAGTTTCGATCAAAATGTAAAACCAGGAAGAAAATTAATAGCCGCTTGGTTAATCCATGCAAAGCCATTGCTCTAGTCTTACTGATGTCCAAACTAGACCATGACTTGATATTTATGCCACGCATTTATCTTCAAGTCTATTAAATGAAAATCAAAAGTCACTAGTATATTATTATTACATTTGATTTGAATAAAAACCGTAACTCGAAGCCCATGACAACTGTAATCCGTTCGGGGTTTGCAAACAATGATTATGGTCCTTTAACTAGTAGTTGTGAGCATATTTGTGTATATTCAGTGCATTTACTTTCGACAAGGGTTCGTATCCACTTAACTCTGTTACCACAACTATGTATATCTAATGAATGGGTACTGGGCTTTGTCGAACACAGGATAATTCATGTTATGGACTTTTTTATTGAATTTCAGTTTTTCTATTTGGTTCAAGACAAAACAAACTATCCGAAAGCCAATACCAAAATAAATATTATTAGTTTCAAATTTTGTACAAATTGTACTATAAACCAGTACGGTAAAGTAGTAAAGTCGGACGGGGCCGACTTTATGAACACCACTTTGTGTATATTCAACAGTTGAATTCTAACATACGTCACACATTTTAAGGTCCATTAACATGAAATTGGATCCATAAACGTGCCATTTTGCAACCTCTACTAAATTTAATAATTTGGGCAAATATAGAGTTGCTTCTTACAATGGAAAAAAATTTCAAATCAATTCTAAGCAAATATAAATCGGACACCCGTTGATTATTTGGACGAAAGTATATATATATATATGGGATATATATCTAAATCTGCACCAATTTTCATGAAATTTAACACACATCATTGTAAACTTTATTTAATATGCTATGCCAAATTTCGTGCAAATCGAGATATATATAGGGACTTTGGTACACCTTTTACATTAAATTGGACGAATATATATATAGAAGCTATATCTAAAACTGAACCGATTTTTCCCAATTTCAATAGGGTTCGTCCTTGGGCCAAATAAGTAAAATATATCAATTTTCATCCAATTCGGATCATAAATCGGACCTGTACTTTGTTTACAATTTAACATGGACGAACGGACGGACATGCATAAATCGACTTGGAAAGTGATTCTATGCATATTCTCGTTTCCTTCTGTCTGTTACAAACATATGAACAAAGACATAATACCCTGTACCACAGTGTGGACGATATAGTAGACGTAGCAAATTTGAAGATCCAATGAAGTCGGACGAGGTTAATTATGTTATCTATTTTTATTAATCCATACATTCTGAAATATATACAAAATGTCATGTCAATTGGACAGACTTAGAGTTATTGATGTACCATTTCTACAAAATCGAACAAAAAATATATAAGAGCTATATGTAAATCCGAATGGATTTGAAGTAAATTTAGCACGAATGAATGTTGGGTAACACTGTGAGTCAAAATCAAGGTCATAATCTGTGGTGTGGAAACTTGCTGTTGGAGATGAAAGACCTTGATGAGTATATGAAAAAAAGGAAAAATTCACCAAAGGTCATAGTTCGGAGTTATAGTGTCAACCCTGTCTACCCTAGTATACATGAAAATATATCTTTATATGTTGATATTTAACTGTGACATTTTAACGTTTTAATGGTCTATTCTCGATTTTACCCGTTTCTTGTCACTAAAAGCCTATATATTAAGTCGGCCGATCGTCGAAAATGTCGATAAAATCTGAGAAAAAGTCGATGTTGACCGGCATCTTAGCAGTCGTAACATCGCCCAGGAACTAAAAATCGACCATAAACCATTTACAATTGACCAGAAACGGCCAGAATTGGCCAACAGGAGAGTGACTCGCCAGAAACTTCGTAAAAATCGACTACTAAAGTTTTTTGCAAAAAGAGAGAAGGACTTCTAAGAAATTGAAGTTACCTTTAAAAAGCAACAAATCATACAACAAAACGGTGCCTATTTGGCCCAAATCGAACATTCCGAAGCATATAAACCCTACGGTCAATAACCGGGTACATTTGTACCTTTTTTTGAATAAAAATGCTGTAAAATTTTTAATAATGGAGATATTTGGTTCAAATTTTTTTAAATGATAATCTATCTAAAACAATCATAGTAACTTCCACGAGTCGCCCTGATGGACCCATATTGTCTAGGGCCACAAAAATTTGCAGAGGGGTTGAGGAACATCTAAATAAGATCCCAATAAAAACATAACTAATTCGAAAGCTATAACGAATTTACTATGATTGTTTTAGATAGATTATCATTTAAGCATGGATTTAAATATATATTATTTTAATGTATATATAATTTTGAGTTCCTACACCTAGACCAGATCCGCATAGACTAATTTAAAACAAAAAACCTCACGATAGTCCAATTTTTTAATGAGTTACAGAGCTATCTTTGGATGGGTACAAATGTACCACGGTTATTGATCTACGTATACTTTTTTGGTTATTGACCGAAGGGTTAAATAAAGTCCTATAATTAAAAAAAAAATAATGGATTTATTTTTCCCCAACCTAATGTATATGTATTTCAATAAATTCAGTATACATTCCTTATTAAGCAGAAATATCTGATTCGTCTGAAAATTGTGAAAATCGGGGGTTCTCCAAATATGGACGAATATTAACTATTTTCAGCTAAGGTATATTTTGCCTCATAAAAAAGTGACGCATTTCTAAAGTTTAATTTTTCCAGAATTTAATACACATATATTGCATAATGTTTCCAACTTATTTTTTTAATTATCCTCCAGATCTTTATTACTTATCCGACTGACATTTCGCTTAGCTTTTAAAATTTCCCCAACAAATATCAACAAACCCACAGATAATACAATGAATAACATTACAAAAGCATATTCTAAATAGGCCAGTGACATGGCTCGAATTGATGGAGTATCGGGGAAAATGTAATTGTTCTGCCCACAATACCATCCCATTTACTATCCACCTTGAATTTCTTCAATAATCCACTGTCGGTCACATACCACAAATGACGATTAAAATACTCGATAAATGGCAAACGATGCGGCATCGACACAAACATGGGGAATGTAAACAGCGGTTCTGGCATATACTTCACCAATGGCCTTTTCATATATATCTGTTGATATAGCAGCAAATCGACAGTATCATCCATGCCCATATATATGTTGACGATGTTTAAATTTTTGCGATTTATATTGAATTCCGTGTTATTGCCAGTGAAGAAACGCTGATAAATAATGTCGGGTAAATTCTCCAGTGCTAAGAAGGTTTTATAGTCCAACGTGTAGGTGTGTATGCCCAATTTGGTGCGCCCAACATCCTGCAGGGGTTTCAAATCTTCTTCGTATATCCGTGAGGTATACTGGAAAGATTGCCGCAATAGCTATTCGTGAGGAATAAACCAATACACAGAAACAAAATGTGCAGCATATAAAAGAAGAGTGTCTTTTTCTCAAAGACTTGGCCCGATATGAAAATTATAACCTGTAGGGCGTACATTATAGATTCGATCATGTCGCATTTATTGAAGAGAAAACGCTTGATGAGAGCAATTAATGCAGTCAGAATAACTAACAGAAGAGCCACCATAAACCACATACCCCTATCGAAGGATACCAACAGATATAAATTCTGATTAATTTCCCGTGCAGCCGGAACGAGTAGGTAACATTTACCAAAGTGAATACAATCACTGCTCTCATAGTGCCTACTAGCCGTTAAATAGGTGGGAATAAAGCTAAAGCCACGATTATTTACCAGATCTACGATGGACGCCTCATCAAAACTTATGGCCCAGGCATCAACAAACACCGGATTCAGCGTGCCATTGTGATGTTTCACAAAATTTTCTAAAATCTTGTAATAATAGCCAGATCTGATTAGTTCGCCTTGTCGGTTATGGAAACTAAAACAACGTGGTGGATATTCCACAACTGCTATATGGATAGGAAATTGATTCAAATTATAGGGATTCCGTTGTTGTAGCTCTCCAAATTCCATATAATTCTTCAAATGTATAACTCGTATCTTGGGATATGGTGTATAGGTGTATGTGTCATTATGCCACAACACCAAAACAGATAGATAACCATTTTTAAAACTATCTTCAAATAGGCTAACCAGCTGCCGTTCATCCTCGTCAACACTTTGAAAGAACACAATAATTTTTGTGTAATGTCGCCTCCACAAAAGTTCGCCCAATAGCGAAAAGCTCACTTTTTGATTATTCACATCAATTCTGGCCACCGTTAAGATATTCATATTAAATTGTTTATAAAATTTTTTTCTCCTTACATTTTCACTATTAATGATAATTTTTGGAATATTTGATTTCATAGTAATATCCTGGAGTTCTGATTCCGCTTGCCCATTGATGTTTATGAATAAATTCATTTCAATAGCTTCCATTTCATTGAAATACTTTATAATTTTCCATTGTTCGCAGTTGCAACAGGAGTTTCGATGAAATTGTATAATCAGAAGGAAAATTAAAAGTCGCTTGGTTAATCCATGCAAAGCCATTGCTCTAGTCTTACTGATGCCGAAAAATGGCCATGACTTGATTTTTATGCCACGCATTTGATCTTCAATTCCATTAAATAAAACTCGAAATTGAAATTCAATTGCAGTCCTTAGTCTATTATTTCTCCATTTGATTTGAATAAAACCCCTAACTGGAATCAATTGACTAGCCCATGACAACTGTTATCCGTTCGGGGTTTGCAAACAATTATTATGGTCCTTTAACTAGTAGTTGTGAGCATATTTGTGTATATTCAGTGCATTTACCTTCGACAAGGGTTCGTATCCATTTTACTTTGTTACCACAACTTTGTATATCTAATGAATAGGTACTGAGCTTAGTTGCACACAGGATAATTTATGTTATGGATATTTGTAATGAAATTAAAATATGTTGTCGAAAATAGACAATTTATTTTCTATTTGGTTCAGTTCAAGGTGTATTTAAACAGATACAACAACAAAAATATTCAGTTCAAAACAAACTATGCAAAAGTCAATATTAAAAAAATATTATTATTTCAATTTTTTTTTACAAATAAAGAACTTAAACCAGTAAGGAAAGTAGTAAAGTAGGGCAGGGCCGACTATATGATACCCTTCACAACTTTGGGTATATTCAACAGATAAATCCTAACAGACGTCGCATTTTTTAAGGACCAGTAAAATGAAATTGGATCCATAAACATGAAATTCTGCAACCGATACTAAATTTTTCATTTGGTCAGATGTATATGCTATATCTAAATCTGAACCGATTTTCAGGAAATTTAACACACATCATTCTGGACCTAATTCAGTACTCTGTGCCAAATTTCGTGCAAATCGAAAAATATAGAGGGACTTTGGAGCCCATTTACCTTAAATCGGAGCTATATCTAAATCTGAACCGATTTACTCTCGGGTATAAAAATGGTTAACAACAAAATTTTGGGGACTGAAAATGAATAACAGACGTGTGTACTAAAACAAAAGAAACCTAGGTAAAGCTCAAACAGACGTCGGACTGTACAACACCCTTCACTACATTGGGTACATTCAAGATATGGCCTTAACCCTTTCAGTGTTTTTGTCGAATATATTCGACATTTAAAAGTACTCTCCTTCTTTGCGATTTTTCAATTATCCTATGTTTTTAATTTTTTTTTCTGAAAGACAGAAGAAACTGGCCGAGGGTTAAAATGACAATTGCTATTTTTTCTAAACTATGTCCTTTTTATGATTTTAAATACAAAATTTTAGATTTTTATTCTGATAAAATTTTGTTTTGACACTGAAAGGATTAAGATTCTTATAACAAACGCCCTTCTCTAATGATTTTGGCCGCTATGAAATCGAACAAAATTATGTATAAGTGCTATATGTAAATCCGGATCGATTGGTAACATCCTATTGGGGATGAAAGACCTTGGTGAGTATATGAAAACTCCAAAAGAAAAATTCGCCTTTGGTCAATTTTCGAATCATTTTTATACGCTTCACCACACTGTGGTACAGGGTATTATATCTTTGCGCATATGTTTGTAACAGGCAAAAGGAAACGAGATAGACTCATGGCTCCTTTTGAGAATATGTATAGAAACACTTTCCATGTAAAACTGTAAATAAAGTACAGGTCGAATTTATGATCCGTATCGGATGAAATTTGGCACATCTCATTTTTATGACCTAAGGACAAACCCTATTGAAATTGGGGAAAATCGATTCGAAGTTGTATATATCTCCCATATATAATTTCGTCCGATTTTATGTAAATGGTGCACTAAAGTCCCAAAATATTCTTCGATTTGCACGAAATTTGGAATAGCATACTGAATTGAGTCTAGAATGGTGTGTGCTAAGTTTCGTGAAAATCGGTTTAAATTTAGATATAGCTCCCATATATATTTTCGTCCGATTTTATGTAAATGGTGTATTTTGATTTGCACGAAATTTGGGACAGCGTACTGAATTACGTCTAGAATGATGTGTTTTAAGCTTCCTGAAAATCAGTTCAGATTTAGATATAGCTCCCATATATATTTTCGTCCGATTTAATGTAAATGGTGTACCATCGTTCCTATATATCTATCGATTTGCACGAAATTCGGGACAGCGTACTGAATTAGGTCTAGAATGATGTGTGTTAAGTTTCCTGCAAATCGGTTCAGATTTAGATATAGCTCCCATATATATTTTTTCCGATTTAATCTAAATGGTGCACTAAAGTCAATACATATCTTTCGATTTGCACGAAACTTGATATAGCGTACTAAATAAAGCCTAGAATGATGTGTGTTATGTTTTGTGAAAATCGTTTCAGATTTAGATATAGCTCCCATATATTTTTTCTCCGATTTAATGTAAATGGTGTACCAAAGTCCCTATATATCTTGTGATTTGCACGAAATTTGGCATATCATAATGAATTTGGTCTAGATCGATGTGTGTTAAGTTTCGTGTACATCGGTTTAGATTTTGATATAGATATACTTTCGTCCGATTTTAAGTAAATGGTGTACCAAAGTCCCTATATATCTTGTGATTTGCACGAAATTTGGCATAGCGTACTGAAATAGGCCTAGCATGATGTGTGTTAAGTTTCCGGAAAATCGGTTCAGATTTAGATATAGCTCCCCTATCGTCTGATTTTAAGATTAACACAAAATTTTACACAACGTACTGAAGTTAATATAACCTAGCGTGTGTGTGGAAAGTTTTAAAATTGGTTGAAATGGTTGAAATTGGTTCAGACTTGAATAGAGCTCCCATATATATTTTCTCCCGATTTTAAATAAATGATGCACCAAGAACTCAAAATGTGGCCGATATGCACAAAACATACTGAAATTAGTGTAACCTAACATGTGACAAGTTTCGATGACATCGGTTTAGATTTCGATATAGCTTTTGTATATATTTGCGTCCAATTTTAAATAAATGGTGCACCAAACTCAATAATGTTTATCAGATATTTATCCAAATAATCAACGGGTGTCCGATTGATATTTGCTTTAAATTGATTTACATAATTTTTTCCCGTTGTAAGAATCAACTCTATATCTGTACTCCTTTTTTATAATGTACGGATATATATAAATATTTTCTACATATGTATGTATGTATTGATTCGTCATACATGTTTTCGATTATACCACACGATTGAGACTACGCCTGAGGACTTTTTCGACACAACTTGGCGCAAACAATTATTGGCTTTCTAAATTTGTTAACACCTTTTTGCAAAAGTTTTCGAAACATGTAATTGTGTGACGCCCCCTATGTTAAATGTAAATAATGCCAACAAATACAAAGACAAAAGTATAAAGATAGGACAATTGATACGTAAACAATTTCCAACAGATGGCTTTTCCTCTGTTGTTACGATATCATAACAACAGAGAGAACAATATTAAACGTTTTTAATGCTATATCTTAAGCTTATTAAATACAAAAATATATTTAAAGTGCAGATCTCTGATTTTATTTACATTTTATAAACACATTATCGCGTATTGGCGTTTTTATTGTTAACATGCCTCTGTTATGCATGATTCCCCCTGGATGTGTTTTCATAAATTATTTTGTCAAAATGCATTTTGTCGAGTCTTTACGGTTTTTATGTCTTTGACAAATATTCGATTTTTTGGTGTTTCTGTAATTACACGAACTATTTTATAAAGTCATTTTTTCGATAACTGCATCGCATTCGGATTGCAAAAACAAACAACAATTATTAAAAAAAATTAAGACCTATTCCAACCCATTGACTGGCTTTACACCTGCAACAGTTAGTTGCTTCTCATCACTGCAGCCTTTGCTTTGTGTGAATTTTTCCTTTATTTATTTTTGGGGGTTGTTGGTTTTTCATGCCAATTTATTTTATTTTTTTAATTTTTCTTTTTTTTCGAACAGCCACGAAATAACAACCGATACAACAAGCAAAACATGACTTTTATTAGTTTTGCTTAAAGGTTTCGGAGTCAGTCAGCGAGTCAGTCGTTGGTAACATGTTATTAACTGGTGTCGGTCGGTGTTGTTCACTTTTTTTCGACGGCTATGCAGATCTGAGCTGTTAGATAAATCTATGTTTATTTTTGCCAAAGACCTCAATCACCTACAAACATAGCCAATGTGTTTTGGGTTGCACTTGCCACCGCGATCACCACGACTAAGACGACGACGGCGACTATGATAAAGACGGAAACGCTTACATCTATAATTCGGATAGTTGTTTAAAGAACAAATACCGCCAGCCAAAATTTAATAACAATCATAATATAAACAGGTAGCTAGCTGGCAAGCATGTATATATCACATACATATGTGAACGAAATATTAGCAGCAGTTGTTTTCGATTTATCAAATATGCACAATAATATAAGTGTTTCCCTATATGGAATATTGTAACACAATAGAAATCAAAAACACACATCTGCACATGCAGCAGGACACGTGAATGGCAAAGTAAACATACGATTTTATGAAACTAGCTGGAGTTTGTTTGATGCTCATAAATGTTCATGAATGATATGAAAAATATTCTTGGCAAGTATAATATGATCTCAGAAGAGGAAAAAGACATAGGTCAAGCTTTTTTATACCCCACAACATTGTCTGGTATAATAAATTTGTCAATCCGTTTGTAACACATCAAGTTATTCGTCGGAGAAAGAATATTTATAGTCCTGATAATATGTCCGGCAATCTATTTAGTATAGTAACTCTACAATTGTCAGTGTTTTGGGGATTTTGGACAT